GCAAAATTTCATGCCATTTCATGCATACTTACCCTGCCGCATCGCGAACGACTTTTTGTCAACTTTTAGTGTATACCAAAAATTAGGTGTCATTTAATGTTTTCCAGGATAATGATAAGTTTTACATAGGTGACATAGATTTAATTCACATGTTATTTTACAGGTACACCGTATAGAAAATCATTACAAGTTCATATTGAAATTCTTTTTTGTGCGGAACCTTGGTATCATTTTCCTAGACAATAATCTTTGCCTAATATATCCATCTCTCGATTCGTATCCCGTCACTTCAGTGCAAGCTTCAGTCATCACTTTTATGCCTCTCTCGACCGCCTGAGTGCTGTTTGGCCACTTGGGCACCACTAATGGTGTCTCAAGAATGTCATTAACCTGTAGATTTGACAGAGAAGCAATGTAAGGAGGCTCAGTCTTGAGTTCATTCCTCCAGTTAATCATGGAATGATAGTTTTTGCTTGCCACTTTAGTTTCGGAGTCACCACCTTTCTCATGTTGACTACAGGAGGCACATCCTCATTCCCATCTCCATCTTTACCCTCCTCATCAGTATAGTTTAACAAATTCTCGTCAACAGCAGCATCAGAATCTTCCTCCTCCTCTTCAAATCTGCCAGTGCATTCTTCCTTTTGTTGATTCTCCTCTCTAATTTTTCTTATCATTGAGACAGCTTTTTCTCTAACAGTCATGTCCTCATCTGCACACATACCAAGAAGAAGTTGATCTGTGTGGGCGAAGTATGCATTTCTCTGGACAGCCTTCTTCACTATCGTCTCCTCCTCACTATTCAGGTGTTTCATATATAGCAGGGACTGGAATACGTTCCTTGAGCCGTGTGTTACGTAAGGGTGTATCTTGATGTAAAACCACATTGGAGCACTGAACTTTATTATTGTAATGACAATTCTTTTCAACTCATGGCTGGGTCTTGATGTTGCTACATACAGCCTGAGGATTCTACTCCATAAGGTGTTCCACCTTGACACACAGGGAGGACCTGGCTCAATAGCAGCCAAGTCATCTTCAACAACACCTGTGATAACTCCTTTACAAATCCTATACAGGTATTTCTGATCCCAGGACAGATCTTTCTCCACTTCATCATTAAACACAGGGAAATCAGGGAAACTGACTGGCTGGAAGGCGACAACTGGAAGCTCAGACAAAGACTCCTTGATCTGCTTTCCAATGGGACCACGCCAATGCTCAGGACCACTTGGTTTACCATCATAGTGATAAAAACTGCGCGGAAAGGCAGCTCATTTCCGTGAAGCTGACATATGAAATAATGGAGCGGGTGACCAAGTAACATTTCAAGATGATGAATGACTCCATTTTCTGATCCTACATTTACATTGGTTCCATCACAACCAACACACACAATGGGCTGCTGGGTTAGATTTTTCTCCACCAGAAAATCGTGAATAGTTTTGGCAATCTGCTTTCCGTGTCCAGTCTTGGGAGTCACATGTGTGAGATATTCATTGCCAGTTGATAAACACTGAACAGAACATTGCACCGCCACAGCGGCTGTTTGGCTAGTACTGTAGGTAAATTTAAAAATTTCAGTAGAAAATGCGGCAGACTAAACCTCGACATATCAGTTTCAAATTTGGCATGGAGTCTTAGATATGTATAAGAAACAATACCTGAAGAGTGCAGCTTTGAGCAAAATTTCACTGCCCCCTACAGTACAGTATAAATAAATCCATAAAGACTATACTGGTTAGGATAACAGTAAAAAACAAAGGTTGATGTAAATTTGACGACAATAAGAGAGTTCCAAAGGCCAGAATGCCTCTTAGGGACTATGTGGATATAGCACACTGTAATCTAAGTCATCGGTAAGTAAGGTTGCCTGGCCAACACTGCACTCGATCGGGGTTACTTCCCCACTGCTACAATCTCTATCGAAAGAGACGGTAAGAAAATATGAAATTTGATAACAATTGCAGAAAGAGGAAGAGATAGATAAATAAAAGAGGGAAGAAGAAAGAGCGAAATGAGTGGAAAGAGAGGAAGATAAAAGAAAAAATAGAATGAAAAAAGTGGAAGAGAGAGAAAAAGCGTAATAAAAGAGAAAGGGGAAAGTAAAAGCAGACAAAAAGATTGATATGAATGATGTAACCAAGCGGGGTCGAGGGGGGGGGGAGGCGTTACAGGTGTGGTAATAAAAAAAATCATTTTTCTTTCTATTGCGTAAATGTTAGCATCTTGGGATGCGTACATCTTGACACATGTGTAGGTATGGATGCCTTTGTACAGGTTGAATATGTGCGTCTGTGTGTTTTTGATTGTGTACATACTTAAGTAACTACAGTACATGCTGTGTACATATCGCCAGTGTACATATGTGCGTTAACTACAGCTTAATGTCATCAGTCTTCACCTTTACTTCATCAACCCAAATAACATGTTTTAAAGGACTCTACAGAAAAATGGCGTGTACATATTTGTTTTGTTCGCCTCACAGAAATTATTTTTTTTAATGCTCTAGTCCGACAAGCGCACACACACACACACACACACACACACACACACACACACACATACACCAATGAAAGGAAAGCCATGACTCAACATTGCGTGTTTAACAAGGCTGGATACTCCATGGCCGCGCTCTTGTACCAGTAGTACGGAACCCATCACTCATAACGTCATTTCACTGTTAATTTCTATTATAAATTCATCACACACCTCGACATAAGACACATTAACAGCGACATAAATACATAGTTAGTGTCCTATTATCTTGATGAGGGGTCTAAGATGACACCAAACACATTCAACTTAATTTACAACAATTCTGATGCGATTTTTGTTTTTGTTTTTTAAACTTTTGGGTGAGGCAGGAGTATTTTTATAGGGGGGGGGGTAAAAAGTGAGGTCAGGTTAGGTGAGGTTCATGCAGAAGTAAGGTTTATGTAGGGTGGCGTGTAGAAGTAAGGTTCATGTAGGGTGGCGTGTAGAAGTAAGGTTCATGTAGGGTGGCGTGTAGAAGTAAGGTTCATGTAGGGTGGCGTGTAGAAGCAAGGTTCATGTAGGTGGCGCGTGTAGAAGTAAGGTCTGCAGGGTGGCGGTAAAGTAAGGTTCATGTAGGGTGGCGTAGAAGTAAGGTTCATGTAGGGTGGCGTAGAAGTAAGGTTCATGTAGGGTGGCGTGTGTGTCTGCGTCATGTGGGGCGTGAAGTAAGATCTCATGTAGGGTGGCGTGTAGAAGTAAGGTTCATGTAGGGTGGCGTGAAGTAAGGTTCATGTAGGGTGGCGGTAGAAGTAAGGTTCATGAAAGGGTGGCGTGTAGAAGTAAGGTTCATGTAGGTGGCGTGTAGAAGTAAGGTTCATGAGGGGTGGCGTGTAGAAGTAAGGTTCATGTAGGTGGCGTGTAGAAGTAAGGTTCATGTAGGTGGCGTGTAGAAGTATGTTCCGCGAAAGGTGACGTAGCAAGGTTCAGCGTAAAAGATGTGTCACGCAACTGAACGAAGCACACCGAT